TGATAAAATAAAAAATAAAAAAAAGGAAAATGTATTCTATTGAAAAGATCCTTAACCTTGTTCACTACAGGACCAGTGTGAATTAAAACCGAACGGAGAGCATTTCCATCTCCTGGATTTACAAAGCTTAAGAACGTAGGGCTTGTGGGGAAGTAGGCACTCATCTACAAAGCTGGTGGGACTATTTATTGGTATAACCTCTGTGAAGAGCAGTCTAGCAGTATGTATGAAAATTACAAATGAATATGCCCTTTGACCCTGCTCTTCTACTTCTAGGAGTTGGTCCTACAGAAACTCTGGCTCACATGCAAAATAATAGATGGTAGCATAATTTGTGACAGCAAAGCTTGAGACAACTTAAGCATCCATCATGGGGAACTGGCTGAATAACGGCATATCTATAGTGGGATACTAATTATTCCTAAAATAAAAAGGGGGAGGAGGAGGAGACAGGCTGAACTCCAGGATTATTCAGTGAAAAAAACAAAGGGCAGGATGTATTTTGTGCATTTGTTTCTAAAAGGGGAAAGAAATACTAAAAATACATTTTCACACTTATTTGCATAGAATATTTCCAGAAAAATACACAAGAAACTTCATGCTGAGTGTCTCTCGGGGACTGGGGAGCCAGGGCCCCAAGGAGACCTCCCAATCTCTTTTTTGTGATCTTTAATCTGGAATCCTGTGAATGTGTTACCTATTAGAAAAATAAATTTTAAGCCCTGCCGGAACCAGTTTGGCTCAGTGGATAGAGCGTTGGCCTGCAAGCGCCCTGGGTTTGATTCTGGTCAAGGGCATGTACGTTGGTTGTACATACTCAGTAGACAGCTGGTTGATGTTTCTCTTTCATCAATGTTTCTGACTCTCTCTCCCTCTCCCTTCCTCTCTGTAAAAAAATCAATAAAATAAATATTTTAAAAAATTTAAGCCCTATTTTAAAGCCATATATCTGTATCAATTTATTTTGTAATTTTACTTCTATTACAATTTTATAGCTACCATGAACAGTTGAAATTTTCATCTTATTTTCCCCCCAGCATTTCTGATGAGTCAAGCTGTTAAGTGCACCAGAAGGATAAACTTGGAACAGTGCGAAGAAATGGAAGCCCTGAGCATGGCTCGTTACAGCAGTCCTAAAATTTTGAGGGTAAGAGTTATTTTGAAGTGAAGCTGATTCGTTAGGTTTGTTTTCTGTTCTTGGTACCCTTTTAAAATATTACAAAAGTATAGAATAATTTAGGTACATGATTGACACTCAAATTTTGAATGTCTCCAGTTCCTTGGTATACTGATACCGAACATACTGGGGAAAAATGACTTAAAATAATTTCTATTTTTATCTAGCTAGCTCATTTTTTGCTTTTATTAATTTTTTATTTTTTTCTTTCATTTTGATGGTAACCAATAATGTTTGTCTCCTGAATTAAAAAAAAAATTTGATAACCAAAAACTTTACCAATGACAAAAGCATCTTAATGTCTGTGACAGAAATAATCATATTGGCACCAAGTAGAGGTCTCTCTGAGAAACAGGCCAGAAAAGGGTAGAAAATCCGCTTTCTGGTTGGCAGATGAAATAAGTAACCAGGGGAGGGCAGGAAATAGGATTGCTGGGGAAGGGAAGAGTGAGAGGCCCTCTCTTCCTGATAAACAGGGTCGAGCCTGATCTAAATAAATGAGAGACGCCACCGGCCCATTTGGTGGATGATGTGGAGGGCTGCAGGGGAGAAAGTGGTTTTTAATGTTTAAAAACCATGGGATTGTTGTGAAATCCCGCATCTCCTGATGTTCTTTTTTGGGAGGTGGTGGAAGAGTGGTCCATGGCATCAGTATCCATCTGGGCTTCAGTTTTCAGAGTCAAGTTCAACCATTTTTCTTCCCTCCCTTCTCGTGTCAGTCATCTAGGCCTGGAATTCTTCCAGCGATTTTGCCTTCTCAGTTTTCTGGAAGTATTCCCTCTGGCACGCAGGCACAGGTCTCTTCCAGCACAGGCCTCCCCAAAATTGTCTCCTCCTTTCCCTCCCCAAAGCTCTGGTGGCCTGAAAGGGCGGGTGTCCTGTGATTACAGAGGGAGGTGGAGACCTTCAGGGAGAGGCTCTGGCTGTGTAGAGGCGGCGGGGCTGTGGCCTTGGGCTAGAGGCAGGAAGACCACCTAGGAGGCTGTGAAGGACGCTGAGCTTCCAGCGAGCACAGCGGGAAGGGCAGTGAGAGTGACTGGCAGGTGGCAGCCATGTCTTCCTCACGGGGCTGTGTCACGGGTGACCACATGGGAAATACCGAGTGATGACCTGGAAGCGGAGAGGCTTCCTGAGGCTGGCTCTGCTGGGTTGGTCTATGAAGCTTCCAGCTTGGGGGAGGTGGATATCAAAGGAAAATATAAGGTTACCTCTTTGATTATGATATAGATACAAGGAGAAGAAGCTGGCAGGTCTTGATAAAGGATATTGTTTTCCTCTTTGTGAAGTCTTAAATAAGATGAATATGCCCTTTGACGCCCAGTCTGGAAAAAACAAAAGCAATAAAAATGATTATTTTTGTTGTATTTAACAAAATTTGTTGTTTCTTTCTGTCTAGGTGCCTAATTCAAAAACAAAGGTAAGAGTATTTCTCAGTGGAAAGTTTATTACACAAGCCCTGTGCTTATTAGCAGCCATTCTTCCCCCACCCCCTCTCTCTGTCCCAGCCACCACTAATATATTCTCTGTTTCTGTGGATTATTTGCCTGTTCTGGACATTTCACATACAAGGAACCACACAGTATGTGACCTTTTGTGTCTGGCTTCTGTTGGTTAGCATTGTGTGTTGTAGCAAGTGTTGGTCCCTTATTCCTTTTTTTTTTTAAAAAAGTATATTTTATTGATTTTCTACAGAGGGGAAGAGAGAGGGATAGAGAGTTAGAAACATCGATGAGAGAGAATCATTGATCAGCTGCCTCTTGCACACCCCCTACTGGAGATGTGCCCGCAGCCAAGGTACATGCCCTTAACCGGAATCGAACCCGGGACCTTTCAGTCCACAGACCGATGCTCTATCCACTGAGCCAAACCGGTTTAGGCCCTTATTCCTTTTTATAGATAAGGAATATTCTTTTGTATGAATATACCACATTTTATTTATCCACTCATCAGTTGATTTACCTGTGGGTTTTCAGTTTGTGGCTATTATAAATGCTGCTGTGAATATTTGTACACGTTGTGTGTGTGTGTGTGTGTGTGTGTGTGTGTGTGTGTGTGTGTGTGAGAGAGAGAGAGAGAGAGAGAGAGAGAGAGCGCATATGTTTTCAGAAATAACCACAAGTAAAGTTTTGGCTATATCCTTCTCAAGTATTTTCTCTGTGAACGTATATATGTACTTACATATAAATATCAAAGTGAGAATTACATGGCACACTTTTCCCTCCTTGGCGGTGTGTCATTGGAGGTTCGTTTCGGCGTGTTTTGTTATTTTAACCCGTCCACCTCCGTTGTGTCTTCGGTGACCCAGAGCTTCTTTGTTTGCAGGTCCCCATCACTGTCCAGTCCATCGTCATCCAGTCTCTAAATAAGACGCTCACCCGGCTGGCAGACACGCACGTGTTGGAGCCGGTCCTTGTGGACGAGGCGGGGGCTGGTAAAGTCTGCACCAGGGTCGTCCTGGAGGTAGGGCCCCGTGGCTTGGAGAGCTCGGTTAGTTTGTGGCAGATTCAGACTGCGTGGTCCCGAGGGGTCCAACTGGGTGCCCTTCAGAGGCTCTGGCCATGGCTTTGCTTTTCTTGACGTGGCCTCCTGCGTGCCTTTCTGCTGTCTCCTCCGAGGACACCTCTTTGTCTCTGAAGCAATCACGTGTCCTTTTCCTCCACAAACCTAAGGACTTACCAGAACACATAAAAGGTTGTTTTTTGTTGCCATTGTTTTGTTCTAGTGTTTCCACGGCAGAGAGAGACTGGTTATATTCTGCCCAGGCCAGCTGATTTGGAACTTATGTAATCGGGCACGGAGAGGCTCAAATGACCCTGCTTGTCAGCAGGGATGACGCCGAAATGACATCTCCTCTCACCTGATTGCACAGGAGGGAAAAGCTTCCAGTGGAGAAATGGGAAAGCGCTTGCCTCCGCTCTTCATTTTATCCGAGTGACTAATACAGCCACAGAAATGTCCCGGGAACAGGTGCATTTGCAGTGTCCTTTCGTTTTCAGGTGAAGTACAGCCTCACATACACAGACGCAGGGGAAGTAGCAAAAGCTGATCTCTCTCTCCTTCTGGGGACCGTCAGCGACGCAGAGCTCCCGCTCCAGCAGAAGTTTGAAATTCACTTTATTCAGGCGAGTTTGATCAATTTTGTACAAGCAGCTCACTGCCAAGTGAGAAGAAACCCCAACTTGTCAGTGAAAGACATACTCTCAGCTCAGAAGTACTGCCACACCTGACCCCTATGCACCGAGCATTGGGTTTGTAATGAATCAGGCTGAGGCTGCATCCTCTCCCACAGGGACCGAGTTCTTGCTGGCAAGCTTGCTCTTGACAGCATGATGTCCTCCTACACTCAGCAGATACATTTATAGTTCTGAGCAGGGGAGAAGTGACTTTGTTGGTCGGTGATCCCGCATTTTATTCTGAAAAGCATTTTATTCCCCCCCCCCCCACTGCCTCTGCCTCGTCAAAGTGAGAATTACCTGGGGGCTTTTCTGCATTGTCTTACAGCAAAACACGAAGCCGCTTCCTCTCAGTGGAAACCCCGGTTACGTTGTGGGCCTCCCGCTCGCTGCCGGATTTCAGCCTCACAAAGGATATCCTTTTGGTGCCGTGGAGAAGGTTGATCTCCCCGTCCACGTGCGTGAGCCTCGCTTCCCTTTGTCGCTGAAGGGCCTGTGGGCTGGAGAGGCTGGTCTCGGCCACAGGCTTCCCAGGTGGCTCCAGAGAAGAGATATCTGGGTCTCACTCATGTCTCAGTCACACATGTGCCACCGTTTCCCAAGAACCAGACTGCTGTTGTGCTGGGTGGTTATCCCTTAACTCTCCGTGAATGTCTGGGATCCTTCAGACCATGAACAGATATGGACAACTCACTATTCTTCGGAGCACAGCTGAGCAGGACTGCTTGGCAGTAGAGGGGGTTCGGACCCCAGTGTTATTTGGTTACAACATGCAATCTGGCTGTAAACTAAGGTAAGGGAGAGACTTGGTTCTGGTGGAACTTGCGTGTGTTGATCAGAAAATAAAACATCCCCTCTCACCCCATGTCAATCAGACATTTGCCTCAGCTGATGGGAGTGCCTGTGAAAGCTCCAATGCACCTTATGATTGTGAATAGGTAGTAGCAATAGTGACAATACATTATAATATAGTTTTTTTTAATTTTTAATTTTAATTCTCAGAACCATAAGCCATGCATGGTTCAAAGGAAATCTATTACAACCATTTTTCAAATCAAATGGAGTGGAGTAAAATACCTCAAGTGCTATGCATCCTTTGTATGTTTTGTTTTTAAAGATGCATATCACTTGAGTTCACTGCAGAAATACTTCCCCTAGAAGTCCTTGCTGAAGGTCTGCATTTTCATATACTGCACACAACATAGCAAGCCCAGTGAGAGGAAGCCTGAGTATGATCTGCTTTTAATTTACTGGTACTTTTTATTACTATCAGACATGCACCTACTGTAAAATGTCAAATGGCTCTGCATGGCTTATTTTAAAACAGCAGTTCTTGCCTTCACCTGCCCCACCGCAGAGGTAGTAACTCTTACAGCTGATGTTTTGGAAATTTACCTTCAAATCTTTAAATAGCCTGCATATAATGCTATTTCTTGATATTTTAGTTTTGCAGATTACTTAAGTTTCCACTATGAAAGATGAACATCTGACTCTTTTCCCTTTCACCCCCTATCCCACCATCCGCTCACTTCTGACCCTGTAACTTGCCAGGGTAATTATGTCATCATTTTGGTTAGACCAGTATGTGCCATTTACATTTTTACATTATTAGTTCTGTTTTGTTGTTGTTGATCCTCATCCGAGGATATTTTCCCCATTCATTTTTAGAGAGAGTGGAAGGGTGGGGGAGAGAAAGAGAGGGAAACATCAATTGGCTGCCTCCTGCATGTGCCCTAGGGCCCTGAACAAACATGCATTCCTTTGACCAGGAATTGAATCTGTGACCGTTCATGATTATGCCCTAATCACTAAGCATCACTAGCCAGAGCTTATGTTATTAGTTCTGATCATTTTAGACCAGCATTTGTGAAAGGGAGTTTCAGAATACATTTCCACAAGATGTCAGTAGGGGTAGGACTATGACGTAATATGTTTCGGAAATACCAGTTAAAGTTAAAAACCTGTTCCTAACTGCAGGACTTCTCAGAGCCTTTAATATGCCAGTGACTTCAGGAGGGACATGGGTATGCAATGGTTCCCAAACTTTTCGCCATGGAACCTTTCTTGTACAGAGCCTCTTGATGGAACACAGTTTGAGAAACATTGTTTTGAATTCATCTCCCTGGCCAACAAGGATTTCTCAAAGTTAGAAACACGTTGGCTTCTTTCAAACAATCCCCTTTTGGAGAGAGAGAAAATAAACCAGAGAGAGCATGTGTGTTGTGGAGCCTGTGAAAAATGCTGGTGTGAGCAATAGCCTCATTCCATTGACTTCTCTTTCCTTCTCCAAAGACTGACCAGCACTATCCCGTGTCCACTTGTTGCGGAGAAGGTGAAGAGCCTGCTGAAGGGCCAGGGCTTCCCGGATTATGTGGCCTCTTTTGGAAATTCTCAGGCCCAGGACGTGCTGGACTGGGTGCCCATCCACTTCATCACCCAGGCACCCCACATGAAGGTACAGGGGGAGACGCTGAAGACCGCATAATGGCGATCTCTCTCCACCCCGTGGGAGGTAGATGGCTCTGGCAGGAGTTATCAGATGGGCCCGAACCTTGAATACTGATTTGTCCTTGTTAACACTGTTGTCATTGGCCATTGAGTCTGGGATTAGGCCCTTTCCTCTCTGTGAAGTGGGAATGATGGTTACAGTACCTGTCTCATAGGGATTGAGTTAATGAGGAAATTAATATTCATGGTGCGTAGTGGTTACTCCATAAATGGGAATCTGACCATTGGTCAACAATAGTCATTGTTGGGGGTCCATGAGGCCTCTAGGCATTGGACATGAGATGAGTGTGAGGACCATCTCAGAGAGACTGAGACACCCCCTCATCCACAGCGCTGTTCCCTGTTCTATAAAGGCGGCCCACGTGAGAGCTTTCAATTCAAAAGTTCCCGAGAGTTTAATGGATTTGACGTCCTATAAATGGGTTCCTGATCACATGTGATTCTCCTGCCCACCTCTTCCTTTTGTCTCAGCAGTCAGTGTGGGCTGCTCCATCCCTGGAGGTGTGCTCTCCACCTTACCCTTTAATTGCCCGGCTTTTTCTTGTCACAGTTTCTTCAGGCCTTTCATTATCTGCTTAGCATATTTATAGCCCGGGGACAGTGGGGGTGAGGACTGCTCCCAGCTCAGCTCCCGCCCTTCCTACCAGAGATCGGTGATTGCTCAGTCCCTGCTTTTCAGCTGCGAAGTCTTGGCTCAGCTCCGCTGCCTCAGTGAACCAGGCAGACTGCTTCTGGCTTCTTGGAGATGGTTAAGACATCCAGCTATTACTTCCCCATCTGAAGGCAAAACAGGTTTTGAGGAGACGCAGCAGTGAGGACATTGGCACTGCCAGAGTCTGTACTGGTCCAGGTAGCTCAGGGCCGGGGTTGGGTTTTGTGCCAACCTTTCAGGAAACCCAGGTAGAAGCAGACAGGAGAGCATCTGCTAAGCTCAGTCATACCAGCTGCTTGTTGCATCTTCTCCTAATAACAGGATATCCAAGGATCTCTCAGCCTACAAATTGCTTAGAAGGCCATTCCAAGCTAAGGATCCCACCAGTGCCTTTTTGGCAGGCACAGATGTAGCAGGCCTGTTAGCTTTTCATGCCTTGAAGAGATGTGTTTTTAAAAACTTGTTATTGTGGAAAATTTCAAACACACACAAAAATAGAATAATACAACAGAATCCCTTCATGCAGTTTCAACAGTTATCACAGTTGCCAACTGAAGAGGTCCAGAGGCAGGAAAAAGATGGGGAGCCCACCAACCACTGTCCCTGGCAACTGCCCAAACAGAGGCCTGGAGCAGAGGCCTCAGGCCCAGCTCCCACAGCGCCCAGTCTGAACTGGGCAGCTCCATGGAGGCTCTCCATTCCTGTGGAGAGCTGGCAGTATCTTTGACAACTCAGACTGCCTATAAACCCCAGTGTAACACCTTAATTGCCAATTGATGAAATCAGGTAAATGAAAAGGCGGCACATTTCTTTTAAGTGTATTTTAACATAATATGCAATCGGGCTTAATTCGTCTGTTAGTAATACCATTCCCTCTCCTCCCCACCCAAAGCCAGTTTCTCTCAAGTATCATATCTCGGAGGTAGCTGTAAACAGGTAGAGCCGCGGTTGGCAAACATGCGGCTCTTTGGCCCCTTGAGTGCTGCTCTTCCACAAAATACCACAGCCTGGGCAAGTCTATTTTGAAGAAGTGGCCTTAGAAGTTTTAAAAATTTGGATCTCAAAAGAAATTTCAATCATTGTACTGTCGATAGTTGGCTTTGTGGACTAATGAGTTTGCCGACCACTAAGGTAGAGGAAGTTAGAGCAGGCAAGGCCCTGAAGGCTCTACTGACACACACTGGCTTATAACTCGCCGCTGATGCTGGCCTCTTTAGAAACCAGAGGAATTGGAAGGAATGGAAAAATTGTGCTTTAGGTGTTAAAATGTTTTTGGAGCATTGAGCACTTTAAAATATGTGCTTTCTCTAAGAGGTTTTTATCTGAACTTTTTTTTTTTTTTTTTTTTTTTTTTTTTTTTTTTTTTTTAATTAATTAATTTATTTATTTTACATATTTTATTGATTTTTTTTTTGCCCCCCTCCTTCCCTCCCATGTATCCCCTCCCTCCCCAGAGTTTTATGTCCATTGGTTGTACTTATATGCAGGTATACAAGTCCTTGGGTTGATTTATTGTCTCCCCCAGACCCTCCTCCCCTCCCCGTTGTAATTTGACAATCAGATTGTCAAATTAGTGATTTGGGTTGATATATCTATCTTTTGGTTGATATATCTATCTTTTGGCATAGTGATTTGGGTTGATATATCTATCTTTTGGTTCATCAGTTTATAATGATCTTTATTATCCACAAATGAGTGGGGTCATGTGGTGTTTCTCTTTCATTGATTGGCTTATTTCACTCAGCATGATGTTCTCCAATTCCATCCAGGTTGCTGCAAATGATGAGAATTCCTTCTTTTTTATGGCAGCATAGTATTCCATTGTGTAGATGTACCAAAGTTTTTGGATCCAATCATCAGCTGACGGGCACCTCGGCTGTTTCCAGATTCTGGCTATTGTAGATTGTGCTGCTATGAACATAGGGGTGCATATATCCTTTCTGATTGGTGTTTCTAGTTTCTTGGGATATATTCCAAGAAGTGGGATTACTGGGTCAAATGGGAGTTCCATTCTCAGTTTTTTGAGGAAACTCCACACTGTTCTCCACAGTGGTTGCACCAGTCTGCATTCCCACCAGCAGTGCACGAGGGTTCCTTTTTCTCCGTAACCTCGCCAACACTTGTCGTTTGTTGATTTGTTGATGTTGGCCATTCTGACAGGTGTGAGATGGTACCGCATTGTTGTTTTGATTTGCATCTCTCGGATAATTAGTGACTTTGAGCATGTTTTCATGTGCCTTTTGGCCTTCTTTCTGTCTTCTTTTGTAAATATTCTATTTAGGTCCATTGCCCATTTTTTAATTGGATCATTCATCTTCCTTTTATTTAGTTGTATCAGCTGTCTGTAGATGTTGGAGATTAAACCTTTATCCGTGGTATTATTTGCAAATATATTCTCCCATACCGTGGGCTTTCTTGTTGTTTTGTTGATGGTTTCTTTTGCTGTAAAAAAACTTTTTATTTTGATGTAGTCCCATTTGTTTATTTTCTCTTTAGCTTCCATTGCCCTAGGGGCAGTATCAGTGAAGAAGTTCTTTTGGCATACGTCTGAGATTTTGCTGCCTGCGGATGCTTCTAGTATTTTTATGGTTTCCCGTCTGATGTTTAAGTCCTGTATCCATTTTGAGTTTATTTTTGTGTATGGTGTAAGTTGGTGATCTAGTTTCATTCTTTTGCATGTGTCTACCCAATTTTCCCAACACCATTTATTGAAGAAACTGTCTTGACTCCATTGTATATTCGTGCCTCCTTTGTCAAATATTAATTGAGCATAGTGATTTGGGTTGATATCTGGGTTCTCGATTCTATTCCATTGATCTATATGTCTGTTCTTGTGCCAGTACCAGGCTGTTTTGAGAACAGTGGCTTTGTAATATAGTTTGAAGTCTGGTATTGAGATCCCTCCTACTTTACCCTTCTTTCTCAGGATTGCTGTGGCTATTCGGGGTCTTTTATTGTTCCAAATGAACTTTTGGAGAGTTCTTTCTAGGTCGGTGAAATATGCCGTTGGTATTTTAATGGGGAGTGCATTGAACCTATAGATTGCTTTAGGAAGTATGGACATTTTGATGATGTTGATTCTACCGATCCATGAACATGGTATATTCTTCCATCTCTTTACATCTTCCTCTATCTCTTTTTTCAGTGTCATGTAGTTTTCTGCATATAGGTCCTTTACTTCCTTAGTTAAATTTATTCCTAGGTACCTTAATTTTTTTGGTGCGATGGTAAATGGAATTGCTTTTTTAATCTCTATTTCTATAGTTTCGCTGTTGGTGTATAGAAATGCCGTGGATTTCTTGGCATTAATTTTGTATCCTGCTACATTGCCAAATTCATTTATTAAGTCAATTAGTTTTTTAATGGAGTCTTTTGGGTTTTTTATGTACAGTATCATGTCATCTGCAAATAAGGATAACTTTACTTCTTCTTTTCCAATTTGGATGCCTTTTATTTCCTCCTCTTGTCTAATTGCAATGGCTAGTACTTCCAGTACTATGTCAAACAGGAGTGGCGAGAGTGGGCATCCCTGTCTTGTTCCTGTTCTTAGAGGGAATGGTTTTAGTTTTTGCCCATTGAGTATAATGTTGGCTGTGGGTTTATCATATATAGCTTTTATTATGTTGAGGTATGATCCTTGTACTCCCACCTTGTTAAGAGTTTTTATCAGGAAAGGGTGTTGGATTTTATCAAATGCTTTTTCTGCATCAATTGATATGACTATATGATTTTTATCTTTCAGTTTGTTTATGTGATGTATCACGTTTATTGATTTGCGGATATTGTACCATCCTTGCATTCCTGGAATAAATCCTACTTGGTCATGGTGTATGATCTTTGTGATGTTCATCTGGAGTCTATTTGCTAGAATTTTGTTGAGGATTTTGGCATCTATGTTCATGAGGGATATTGGCCTGTAATTCTCTTTCATTGAGTTGTCTTTATCTGGTTTTGGTATTAGGGTGATGCTGGCTTCATAGAAGGAGTTTGGAAGTGTTCCTTCCTCTTGGATTTTTTGGAATAGTCTGAGGAGGAAAGGTTTTAGTTCTTCCTTGAATGTTTGGTAAAACTCTCCTGTGAAGCCATCAGGCCCTGGGCTTTTGTTTGCTGGAAGCTTTTTGATGACTGTTTCAATTTCTTCCCACGTCACTGGTCTATTAAGATTTTTAGATTCTTCCTGATTGAGTTTTGGAAGGTTGTATTTTTCTAGGAATATGTCCATTTCGTCCAGGTTGTTCAGTTTGTTGGAATAGAGTTGTTCGTAGTATTTTGTAACAATCTGTTGTATTTCGGTGGGGTCTGTTGTTATTTCACCTCTTTCATTTCTGATTTTGTTTATTTGGGTCCTCTCTCTTTGTTTCTTGGTTAGCCTGGCTAGAGGTTCATCTATCTTGTTTATTCTTTCAAAAAACCAGCTCTTGGTTTTGTTGATCTTATGTATTGTTTTTTTGGTCTCTATGTCGTTTATCTGTGCTCTGATTTTTGTTATTTCCTTCCTTCTGCTTACACTGGGCTTTTCTTGTTGCTCCTTTTCTAATTCTTTGAGTTGTAGAGTTAGATCATCTGTTACCCTTTTTTCTAGTTTTTTGCAATAGGCTTGTAAGGATATGAACTTCCCTCTCAAAACTGCTTTTGCTGTGTCCCATAGATTTTGGATTGTTGTGTTTTCATTGTCATTTGTTGCCAGGATGTTTTTAATTTCTTCCTTGATTTCTCTGGTAACCCAGTCCTTGTTTAATAGCATGCTGTTTAATCTCCATGTGTTTGATTTCTTTGGATTATTTTTATTGTAGTTAATTTCCAGTTTTATGCCATTATGGTCTGAGAAGATACTTGATACGATTTCTATCTTCTTAAATTTGAAGAGACTTTGCCTATGTCCCAAAATGTGGTCTATCTTTGAGAATGTCCCATGTGCACTTGAGAAGAATGTATATTCTGCGGCTTTGGGGTGGAGTGTTCTGAAGATGTCAATTAATTCCATCTGGTCTAGTGAGTCATTTAGGATTGATATTTCTTTGCTGATTTTTTGTTTAGATGATTTGTCAAAGGGTGACAGAGGGGTATTAAAATCTCCTACTATGATTGTATTGCTATGAATCTCTCCCTTAATGTCCTCCAGCAGTTTTTTTATGTATTTGGTTGCTCCTGTATTGGGTGCATATATATTTACCAGGGTAATTTCTTCTTGTTGGATTGTTCCCTTTAGAATTATGAAGTGGCCTTCATTATCTCTTATTATGTCCTTCAATCTGAGATCTAATTTGTCAGATATAAGTATTGCTACCCCAGCTTTTTTTTCATTTCCATTTGCCTGGAAAACTTTTTTCCATCCCTTCACCCTCAGTCTGTGTGCATCTTTTTTTCTGAGGTGGGTTTCTTGTAGACAACAGATGTATGGGTCTTGTTTTCTTATCCAATCTGTTACCCTATGTCTTTTTATTGGAGCATTTAAACCATTTACATTTAAAGTTATTAATGATAGGTACTCATTTGATGCCATTTTTAATCTATACCCCTGTGTTCCTTCTTCACTTAATATTTCTTTATTTTTACAGTAGACCCCTTAGCATTTCTTGCATTGCTGGTTTGGTGGAGATAAATTCCTTCAGTCTTTTTTTGTCTGTGAAGCTCCTGATTTCCCCTTCAATTTTGATTGATAGCCTTGCTGGGTACAGTATTCTTGGATTCAGACCCTTTCTTTGCATGACTTTGTATATTTCATCCCATTCCCTTCTGGCCTGATAAGTTTCCGTTGAGAAATCAGTTGCTAGTCTGATGGGGGTTCCTTTGTATGTAACTTTCTGTCTCTCTCTGGCTGCTTTTAAGATTCTTACTTTGTCGTTGTTGTTTGCCAATTTAATTATAATATGCCTTGGAGTCTGTTTTCTGGGATTCATTTTGCTTGGGACTCTGCGAGCATCTTGGATTTGTGTGGGTTTTTTCTTCTCTATTTCAGGAAAGTTTTCTGTCATTATTTCTTGAAATACTTTTTCCATGTCTACCTCAGTTTCCTTTCCTTCTGGAACCCCTATTATTCGAATATTATTTTGTTTTGTATTGTCCCAAAGCTCCCGTAGGCTCTCCTCCTGCTTTTTAATCTTTTTTTCTAGAAGTTGCTCTACTTGGGTATATTTTTCCATCTTATCTTCTAGCTCACTGATGCGGTCCTCTGCTTCATCTAGTCTACTCTTGATGCTTTCTATTGAGTTCTTCATGGTAGCGATGTCATTTTTCATTTCCTCTTGGTTCTTCTTCAATTCCTCGTGGTTCTTCCTCATTTCTTCTTGGTTATTGTCAAATTTCTCTTCCATTCTTTTTAGCCATCCTATGATCATTATTCTGAATTCTTGCTCTGTTAGGCTGGTTGCCTCTGACTCTACTTCCTTTTCTGGTGATGCCTGCTTTTCTTTTATGTGCAGACTATGTTTTTGTCTCCCCATAGCCTCTCTTTTCAGGGTGTCTGGTTATGTGGTGTTCCTTCTGCTGCGTTGATTTAAAGGTACAATATACAACACTACCAGGTACAACACAAGAGGCACTTAACAGGAATGTATTTACAATATTAATAACCTCAAATAAAGGTGACCACTAGAGAAAGGCAACTTAGGGGTTAGGGGAGAAGGAAGAAAGGTAAAAATAAAATAAAGAAAATTTTTTATAAAATTAAAATGTAAAAAAAAATTAAGAAAATAAAATAGAAAAAGAAGGATAAAGAGATATAAAGAGAAGAGAAAAAGTAATGACAAAATAAAGTTGGAAAACAGGGAAAAAAAGAAAGGAGAGAGAGAGAGAGAGAGAGAGAGAGAGAGAGAGAGAGAAAGAAAGGGAGAGAAGAAGCAAACTAAAAGAGAAATGGGAAACAAACTATATATATGTGGAGAAAATTGCCATAGAACAACTACTGAACCCAGCCAATGCCAGTAACAATACTTGGAGATTAATACAAACTACAATATCCACTATTATTAAGTAAGTCTATGATATACAGAAGTAATAGAAACAAACAAAAACAGAGGATTTTAAAAAAAAATACAATGCAACAATAACAACACAGGAATAAGCATAACCATTTCACTAAAAAGCATAAAAATTCACAATAATCAACCCTCACACAAACAATGCGCAAAGGATAGAGGGGAGAACAGTTTTTGTTTTTTTTTAACTAGTTAATATAGTACAGAAATTGGTATTTATACACTTGGATCAGGGGTTGGAACTTAGGTCTATACGTATAGTGAGAGCTTTAGCAAGGGGTATACAGAAAGAATAGAGGAAAATCTAGAGCCGGAAAGGGATAGGATAAACCGTTGACTAAAAGGGTAAAGTTTAGTAAGAGAGTGATGGTGTAAAGGTCAAGTTGAGATAGGGTTGAATGATGCTAAAGTAGTGATTAAAATAGAATGGAGGTTATTCCCAATGTAAAATACAGAAAAAAAATAAAATAAAATGGTACTGGAGAGGAAACAAACAGACAAACAAACAAACAAACAAACAAGAAAAAACAAAGAACAAAAAAAAAAAAAAAAAAAAAAAAAAAAAAAAAAAAAGGAAAGAAACAAAAATTGCAAAATAGCAGTAGTAATAGTGATGATAAAGATTGAAAAATGTAATAATTGAAAAGGTAAAATGAAGTAAGGAAAAAAAAATAGAAAAAATTTTTCTTAAGTAAATGCTATAAAAAGTGAAAATTAAATAAAAGATGTAAAAAATGAAAATAAAATAAAGAATAGTAAAATTAGCATAAAAATGTCCAGTAGTGGTCATTCACTTCCTCTGTTAATGTATTTGGCACTCCTGATTCTCAGACCAGACAGTCTTGCAGTCCCCAGCATTCCACTGCACCTGAGTTTTGTAAGGTAAACCTTAATTTTAAGCAGGTTATATCTTAGTTATTTGTGTTCGTTTATTTTTGATTAATAAAAAGAAAAAAGAGAAAAAAAGAAAAAAAAAAAAAAAAAAAAAAAGAAAAAAAAGAAAAAGCAAAAAAAAAAAAAGGGCAGTTTGTAATTCGGCTCTTAGGTGTCAGTGTTTCCGGTTTGACCTCCCAGTCTTTTTGGTTGCTCTGGCCTTCTTTCTCTATGGCTCTAGCTGGCTCCAGGACTATGTCTTCTGGCTCCAATCCCTTGTTTCCAGAAGGCAAATTCCCCCTACAATTTCCCCGGCTATGCCCAACTGGGCAGTTCTTCTCTAGTATTCAGAAGCAAGGGGATGAATGGGAACCGGTGCCAAGGTGTCCAGATGTTCCGCCCTTGGCGGGACAGCCGCTATTCTTAACACACTGTCCCTTGTCCCCTGGCGTTTTAAAAAAGCCCCTCTTCTGGGGGGGATTACTTCAAACCCAGCACTAGGTGTCGCTGTAGCCTTCTCTGGGCTCCGCTCCGCCTCCGCGGGCTGTAGTTCGCGCACCCGTCTACAGTGGAGGCGGGGCTGGAGCTCCCCGGCTACCGTAGCAGAGGCGGGCCGGAGCTCCCCGGCTGCCGTAGTGGAGGCGGGGCCGGAGCTCGCTGCCGCGGAACCCAGATCCCTTAGGCTATCCCCGCAAACTCTGACCTTTCCGTGGGTGACTGAAGATCTCCCCGGAATCCACGTGTCTGCGCAGCTCTGGGAGTCTCAGCTGCTCGATGGACCTCCGGGCTGTGCGTTTTCCACGCCTCAGAGAAGCTCTTTCCTTCCTGGCAAGACAATGCAGCCCTTCCTCCACGCCCGCAGCCCACCGCACGCTGCCTCCGCTGCCCCCGCCGCTGCTGCTGCTGCTGCTGCTGCTGCTGCTGCTGCCGCGGCCGTCCTGGCCACTTGGTCAGGAAATCCTGTCCAGCGGACTCTCCCTTACCCTCCTTGAGAGCTCCGCTGTCCCTTAGCTGCCAATCAACTCTCCCTGAGCGACTCAGAAGCCCCCTTTATCCGTTCTGGGACCAGAGTCAGAATAGGTCCGACTGTTCGGTCGCCATCTTCAAGCTCCGCCTTTCTTATCTGAACTTTGAGAGTCTATTCATTCTCTTGTTCAGAACATTTTGTAATACGTGAAACATTTTATAATTAAAACTCCGAACTGCAGATTAAGTTTGACTTGTGGTTGGTGTAATAGTCAAACTGATTAACAGCATTTTGTGTTGTAGGATGTCTGCCAGCTCCCGCTGGCTTTGGTTATAGAAGTGAAGTGGACGAAGTACGGATCCTTACTGAACCCACAGGCTAAAATAGTCAACGTAACTGCAAATCTAATTTCATCCTCTTATCCTAAGGTAGGCCTAACTTTAGTTTCAAGGTATAGGTTAAGACACAAGTCCAAACAAAACTCAAGTGTGATAGTAAAATTTATTATTTTTTGAAAAAGATCATAATTAAAATGGAAACAATCTGGATTCTTTTTAAAAAATATATACTTTTATTGATTTCAGAGAGGAAGGGAGAAAGATAGAAACATCAATGATGAGAGAGAATCATTGATCAGCTGCCTCCTGCATGTCCCCTACTGGGGATTGAGCCCGCAATTCAGGCATGTGCCCTTGACCAGAATCCAACCGAGATCCTAATGTCTGCAGGCCGACGCTCTGTCCACTGAGCCAAACCAGCTAGGGCAACAATCTGGATTCTTAAAACACTGTAGCCGTCATTTTCTTTCACTTAGAGGAAAAACCTCCGCTAACAAGGGTTTCGTTCACAGTAGCACGCTTGTTTAGATTTCTCTTTCAAATTCTTACGAAAATTGAGTTGTGATTGACATTGACTTGTTGGGACAACCTGGGTAAAAATTATTACTCTCATCCAAGTTAATGGCCGATTAGTCCTCCACATACTTATCAGATTTTTGAATGACCAACAGTGGTCAGTGAGGAAGAGGGTGAAAGATGTCTTGTCTTTGTTATCCTGGTAACACGGGCCGCAAGGCTTACAGCACCCCGGCTTTTTATTACAGACCGACTCAGGAGAAGAAAGGACGATTCTGATTTCCACTGCGGTTACTTTTGTGGATGTGTCTGCACCGGCGGAGGCAGGCTTCAGAGCTCGGCCAACCATCAATGCCAAGCTGCCCTTCAATTTCTTCTTCCCATTTGTTTGACGTAAGTCATTAAAGAAGGAGGCCACACCTCCTCCCCCCACTCATTCCTCTCCTTTTGGAAATTTTATTCTACTTGGTTTGACTTGAAAAGGGGGCACTATCTGATCTTGGTAATTTCCAAAACTCAGCACAGAGATAGTCTGTGGAAGCCAAATTGCACCTTTGGGAAGACGTAGAGAGAACAGACTTTGAAGTAGCACAGGCATTGAGGGTTTATCCAGCTCACTCACCTCCTGCTTTGATGTGAGTTGTTGTTAAAATAATCATTGTTTTTAGTTCAGGTTTCCTTTCTTTAGTTCAAGTCCCACTGAAATGAGTACAAAAATAGCGAACTATTGTATAAGCTCACACAGATAGAATACAAGGCCTCAGGAGGGGATCTTCCCCCAAATGTCATGTTAATTAGAGTGGAGTCTTGGGTCCAATTGGCATTTCTGTACCAGGCACTGTTGCTACGAGCTCTCCAACTGCCTAGCTGGCTCTCCAACTGGTGGGCTGGTGTGGGATGCCACAGAGCAGTTCCAAGCAGTTGAAGCTGGAAAGAATATAGTGGGAGGGTCCGGGGGAAGGAGAGAGTTTATGTTCTACATTAATTGTACAGTAATTGAGAAAAACGTTGTCAGGTGGCAGAACGTGGTGGAGCAGCGAGCAGCTGGGTGATGCAGAGGAGGAACCCGAGGACAGCCTCCTTGGGGAACTGCCCTCCAGCAGGCTGTTTAGAACCGCTGGGAAGTAGAAAAGGCCTTTCCAGAATGGGCTGGTAGCTAAGGTAGCTTCTTTTTTTTTTTTCTTTTTTTCTTTTGTCTTTCAGAGCGCTCATATGAAAGAATGCCTCAGTATTCCCGTAGAACGTGAAAACAAATTTGATGAGATTAAATGTTATTTACACCTAGTGGTTGTCCAGCTTTGTTGTCCATTTTCCAGCAAGAGCCAAGTGATCAACTCGAGAAACAGCTTATAATACATTCGTGATGCAGTGCAGGTGGGGATGGGATGGGAAGCCCTCGGTCACACCGAGGAAGAGAGAGCGCCTTCCGGAAGACTGTCCCTCCAGAGTCCAAGCTGGGTCGGAGGCAAAGACATCAAACCAGCCCTGTCCCGCCTAGGCCCCAGGAGGGCTGGTGTCCTCACTCACAGCCACAGCCCGCGAGGCGGTGTCTTCGGAGTGGAGCAGGGACGCCTCTAGTTCACCTCCCCCAGAAGTCCGTGCTGTCTCAGGAGCTTGTTAAGTCTTTCAATTTCTTGTTCCTGTTATTACGAAAGCAGACAAATAACAGAACTTACCCCTGATCCTCCCCATGGGCGTGACCCTCGTTGCATGAGCCCCGGAACAAGGAATCAGTGCGGGAAGGCGGCTGCCACAGTCACAGGGCTTCCCGTGGACAGGGGGAGAGACAAGAGGAGGGACGCCCAACCTGGCTGGGAAGGAGGCAGGGACAGGGAGGACTTAGCCAGGAGGAGGGGTGCTCCCAGCTCCCCGCGCACAGGAGCGAAGGCCGGCTGAAGGTGGGCACTGCACACGGGCGGTGTTTCCCCAGAACGCTCTCTTACCTTCTCAGAGCAGCTGAACTCAAGGTGCTGGATCTTGGCAGCCAGCTGCATATTTATCTGTTTTAGCCTCAACAGTTGCCGCTCTGAACGTGTCTTAACCGAGATAATTATTCCTGAAAAACAATTGAGGGTCTCGATGATACTGGTTTCTAATTTAACCACTTGAAAAAAAAATTGTGTTTCTTATAAACGTGTGCAGTTGGGAAGAGTGCCGACAGATAAGTAAAGGCATTGAACTAGGAGGGCCTGGTTTTTCATTTCTGAGGACCTCGTTGTGAAATACTTCTGTTTGGTTCCCATGGGCCGAAAAATCCTTAAAAATAATCACTGATGCTGAAACCGGTTTGGCTCAGTGGATAGAGCATTGATTGGCCTGCGGACTGAAAGGTCTCAGGTTCGATTCCATGTACCAGGGGGGAGGTGTGCAGGAGGCAGCTGATCGATGTCTCTCTCTCATCGATGTCCCTAACTCTCTATCCCTCTCTTCCTCTCTGTAAAAAATCAATAAAACATATTTTTTAAAAAATCACTGAGCAGATGAGCATTAAGCTTCTTACCACAGAGCTGCTTCACCCCACACTGCCTAGCAGCATTGTGTGCAAAAGCCACAAAGGTGCTGGCTGGCTGGTTCGGTTCAGTGAATAGTGTCGGCCTGAGCACTGAGGGGTTGCCGGTTCGATTCCCAGTTAAGGGGATATATCTGGGTTGCAGGTTCCATCCCTGCCTCAGTTGGGGTGTGCGCTAGAGGCAACCAATCTCTCTCACATAGATGTTTCTCTCTCGTTTCCTCTCTCTGAAATCAATAAAAATAAAGTCATAACAGAAACATGAATTCTCTGAGATAGAGGCTCCCTGTACAACCAGGGTGTGCAAGGCATAGGCTTTTTACCTAAAATACAGTATTTCCCCAGGTGTGTGCTCCACAGCCAGGATCTACAGCACGTGAATAGGTATTATGTCCCCAGAAAGTATCATATCGGTCAATTTGGAAAATATCACAGTTCTCAGAGCCTTCATCTCACTAACACATGCTGTGCTTTTCTCAAAGGGGGCAGGATCCAGTGCAAATCATTTTTCAGCTCCCTTGCACCCCTTCTGGATGAGGCTCCTCCCCAGGAGGGCAGGATGTGATGGAATTCTCTTCAGGGATTGGTCTAATAGAAACAGGGCCCAAAGGAGAAAGGCAGTTCCTCTGAGGGCACATGTCTCGGTGTCAGTTCTTAGCCACAGAGGCGGTGGCAGGACCCCAGATCAGAACACTTTCCTCTGGACTGCGGGAGGAGGAGGAGACCGACCTGGAAACCACCACCTGCAGCCTCAGTGTCCCCTCGCAGGCCTGCCCATTCCTGTCCGCTCTGCAGCCGGAGCGCAGGGCACTCACCGTTGATGATCCGGGCCACCCGCCACAGCCGGAGCAGAATCAACAGGCCCAGAGCCTCGAGCTCATGCTCCTGGAACAGGACGACGATGTCGAGGACGAACGAAACCACGACGACGACAGAGTCCAGGATTTCAAACTTGTGGTAGAAGAACTCCCAACGGAAAACAAATATTTTAAAGAAAACCTCTACCATAAAGAAGGTCAAGATGGCGATACTTATGTAGTGGAACACCTGGAGGAGGCAAGGAGGCACAGTGAGAGCAGGTCCGAGTGCCCATGAGACTTCACTCACTGACCAGTCCCGAGCCCCTGCCAGCGCTAGGCCCTGTTCTCGGGCCGGTAAAACAGCGGGAACAGCAGACAGGGCTCTGCTCTTGGAAGGACAACTGGCGATGGCAGCTTGGAAAACGTCGCCATGCCTATTGGCATAGCAATACTGGAACCTTGCAGAAACCCTATTTTCTTTCACTGGGCCTTTTAATTTTTTTCCCTTTGACTCAAACTGGCCTCTCACCCACCTTGCTTAATCATTAAGCCCTCAGAGCAATGAGGTTCTGGTCAGCATCCAGTAGCCTTAGGGACAAGTCTATTGATTACAGAGACAGAATTTTCAATCAAACTAAAGATAGCATGTTGGCCTCAGTTTCCAGGAAAGCCGAGCAATCCCACCAAACACACCCTTGCCAAATCAGACAGAATGACTCCAGGGCTGACATCAGGACCAGATACAACGATCAACTACCCCCTACCCTAGCGCCAACCAATCAGTAGAGACCATGACCCTAACTCCTCGAGTCATCATGATTAATGATTCCTCCCCTCCCCCCTATAAAGTCCTTCCCCTGGAAGCCATGGGGAAGGAGTTTTTTGAGCAGTAGCTCACCTGTGACTCCAGGCATGGCGCCATCTCCTTAATAAATCCTTACTTTCGTGGCTGCAGACTCTCATTTGATAAATGCAGGCAAACAGACCCTTCAGTTGGGTAACAATGCCCCTGCTTGGAATTGATCCTACGCTGAATTCACGTGAACAAAGACTTGTAAGGATGCTTACTGCACATCACTTGCCAAACAAGATTTTCTACATAGTTTGTAGAAAAACTGAAATATCCATTAAGGAGCAGTCGTCAAATGCATTATGGTTCCTCCATATGGAGCACTATGCAATTGTTAAAAAGACTTAAGGCTGATCCATATGGGTTGACTAGCAGTGATCACCAAGTAGATGGTGAGTGAAGTTCCCAGATCCTGACTGATAAATACTGGTCTTCAGTAAAGGAACCGTCTCCATTCTGAGGCAGGGAAAGTTCAAAGTCAACTGGGACATCATCGTTGAGCAGGGAAATGCTCAAAGACTATGGGGTCGTGTCAAAGGAACACAGCAGTCCTCTCAAAGGGGGCTCACAGTGGCCAGAACTGGGACCATTTGAATATTGAAAAGAATGGCTATCATTGTAATACACTGAATACATAACACACACAAAATCCCATGCGTCCATAGTGAGTGGTACATGCACACAAGTGTACACAGGGAAAAGAAAAGCTCTTATAAAAGAATACCAACTATGTGATGTAGAAGGAAAGACAATTTAAAATCACCAGTTTGCATCCCCCAGTGTATTCATTGGCCAGCTAATACTCATGAGTGGATGCTAATTGGCTATTAGATAAGGAATTATTGATAATTTTTAAGGTATGAAAATGCTAGTATGGTTCTGTAGGAGGAAGACCTTATTCTTATGCACATCAAACTTTTAGGATGAAGTGTCATGATGTCTAACTTATTTTCAAATGGTCAGACAATAATATATGGGCGTGTTTGTGGATAGAGATATAAAGCAAATATAGCAAAATGTAGATTTGCCTTTTTTTTTCATAATAAAAAAGTTGAGGAAAAAGAAGGGCACAAGACTGAGTTTGCAGGTATGTTATTGATTCTGTTAAAAAAATAATAATAAAATAGAGAAGACATTCATCCACGTACGGAAGAACGGGGGCTGCCGCAGAGGGACACTAAGGGCTGCCTTGGGAAAGGGGCCGCCAGCAGGAAGGGCGGGGTTTGCACCTGAAAGGGCATTTTTGCGCTATAAATGGACGTCTGTTTTTAAAAAAGTGTTGGGAGAAGCTTTCCAGCCCCCGACTGTCTCCTATGTTACTGACGACGACGGGCCACAGGTGGTGCATTTTGGGGGTGTCCAGTGCCCCTTGGGCGGGTGTCTGGGAGGGACTCCGGCAGGAAGTGTGAATCGGGGAACACACAGTGGCACATCCCCGGATGGCTCCGGCCTGGGGACCCGTCAGAACAGCTGAGGAGGAACGGCTCTTCTGGGGGACGGGAAAGTACGTCCCGGTCAGAGCGCCCTCGGGAATCAGGGACACACCCCAGCTCAGCCGCCCAGGAAGCCGTGAGAGAGAGGAGAAGGTTTCCTGTTGTAGTCAGTGCTTATCCAGGACTCGGAAAGGAAGACACTTCCTCTGCCCTTGGACCGAGAACACCCGATCTGCTCTCATCCACCCTCCTCTGTCCCCTCCTCTGTCCCCTCCAGTGCGGGCACCAGAGCGAAGGGGGCGTTAAGGGCTGTGGGCTCATACCCGGCCGGCGTAGTTGTTCTTGTCCGGCTGGATGATCTTCAGGTCCAGGATGAGCTCGGCCAGCACCAGGAGGGCATCCAGCACAACCAGGCAAATGATGATGACCTGCGGGCGGGGGAAGGAGGAGAAGCCATGAGCCCGAAAGGGAGACCGACCGCCTTCCATCTTTCCACGGTTGGCTGGGAAACATCTGGATGAAACCACTAGGGAAAATGCCAAGGATGGGAGCTGCCGGCTATGGCCCACGCACCCTGTGGGGAGCCCGCTGGGGGCCTGCTCCTCCACAGAAGCCACAGAAGCCCCTCTTCCCCTGCTGCCTTCCCGGGCTGTTCACCACCTCAGTTCAGTGCCTGTTACCAGGGCATCTCAGGACAGCTCGCTCACTCACCCTCTGTCACTACTTGTCTTTTTTTTAAATATATTTTTGTTGATTTCGGATATGAAGGGAGACAGAGAGATAGAAACATCAATGATGAGAATCATTGACCAGCTGCCTCCTGCACACCCACACTGGGGATGGAGCCCGTAACCCAGGCATGTGCCCTGACCGGGAGTCAAACCGTGACCTCCTGGTTCATAGGTCAACGTTCAACCACTAAGCCATGTCTGCCGGGCACTACTTGTCTTTTTCTTACTTGTTCCCTGTTTCCAGCATCTCTCAAAACAAACTGCTAATTAATAAAAAACATTTTGCCACATTTTTGTTTCCCTAGCACTGTGCTTTGCTCTCGCCAGGGTAAGCCCAGAGGAGATGCTCAGTCAATAATGGAAAACATGCAGCCTCCGAGGTCTGAGAGGTGGGAGGAACCTCCAGCTCTGCCCACGTTGGGCAGCTGGTTACAGCGACGTCCACTGTGCACATGAAACAGCTGGTGCAGAGCCGTGAACACCTGCCCCGACTCAGGTGGGAAACAGAGAAGAGTTGTGGGAAAGACAGTCCTGGCCTGGGGGCAGAGGGGGCAGTGGGGACCTGAGTGGAGGGAGTGGGTGATCTCAATGATGGTGATGGTGATGGTCCCCGAGATGGAGATGGTGACGAGTCTGAGGAGGGCACTGATGGGTGGAGGTGACAGTGTCAGAGAGACCACAGGGTGACAGGGTGGCAATGGGGATGGAGATGGCAGCTGTGGAGGGACTTTCTTCCTTTGGAAACTGGGCCATCACTTACTTCTCCCAGGGCCTTGCCCCTTACACTCTCAGGCACATAGATTTTGGCCTCTGAAGGTTCACGTTGCCATTAATTTTCTTGGCAGTTTCAGGAGGAAATTCTACAAGTTCAAGCCTCCTAAGAATCAAGTACTGTATACATTTTTTTTAACCTGTAGCTAATTATTTCAGTAATTAAATGATTTGATGATATGGATTATTGTGAAATTGCATGGCAAACTGTTTCTCAATGAAGTTTTTATACAGAACAAATTCAGCAGCTTAATAAAGATTCAAGCTTTTAGTGTTTCTCCCCCCCCCCCTTTTTCTTTCTTCATCCTTGGTTTTATTTTGAGCTAAAGGGATCCGACTTAAAACCAAGCCACAGAAATATTAAAATCAGGCTGCATATTCAGCCATACAAAGAGATGAAGTACTGGTACACGCTACGATGTGGTTGGACCTAGAAAACATTATGCTAAAGTGAGAGAAGCCAGACGGAAAAGACGATCTGTATTGTGCGATTCCATTTGTATGAAATGTCCAGAAGAGGCAAATCTATAGACGCAGTAAGATTAGCGGTTGTCAGGGCTGGGAGGTCACTGTTTAGTGGGTGCCAGATCCCCTCTGGGGGCGATGAAAATGTTCTGGGACTAGATAGTGGTGATGGCTGTGCAACACTGGGAATGTATCAAGTAAACGCCACTGAGCAATTCACTTTAGATGATTAATTTTATAGGAATCTCACCTCTGAAGGACAGAGAGGCCTAAGGTCAAAAAGCTACGATGCCTGGGTTCCCACCCTGTGTTTTCTCTCTTGGTTGTGCCATCCCAGGTGTGACAGCAGTTAGCTATACATCATGTCACCTTGGCCACGTCAAACCATGTGGAGCAAGTGTTTGCAAGAAAGGGATTCCAGAATCTTCTGTATGCTGATGCTACTAGCACAGATCTAACCCCTGAGCCTTAACCTGTACCCCCCGCAGGAGGGTGGCCACCTTTCTTGTACTCTGCGCCCCTTCTCCAAGTCTGGTCATGCCACCCCCTCCCACCCGCATGTAAACTTCCCATGGCTGCCTGCTACCATGACGACCTTCCGGGGCCTCCTCCCTTGCCAAGTGGTCCCTCTTCTCACCACACACATGCCTCGTGGACCCTTCCCAGTCCTGCAACGCTGCAGACCTGTTCTTACCTCGGACCCTTAGCAACGGGCATCTGCCTGGAAAGCTCCTCCCTCTCCCTGCCCAACCTTCAGCTGTTGGGGGGCAAAGGGGGAAATGTCACCCCCTAGACACGTCTCTTCCCTCCCCAGGATCCCTCAGAGCCCCTTCTGTTTCTTTACAGAGGGCTTCTCTCCACTTGTAACCAGTTATCTGTCTGGGTGGTTTCTGGAATGACTGCATCCATGAGTGGGGCAGAAACATGTCCACCAGCTCACCACTGTACCCTCCCTCCTACACACACACACACACACACACACACACACACACCACACCCCCCCAACCTCCCCCCCATACACAGCACCCCCCCCACACACACACACGTGTTAAGAAATGGCTGTTGAGTGAAGGACTAGACCCCTCTATTATTTCCCCTGGTGCCAGCATCTCCGGGGGCCCCAGCTCGGGGGCCAGCTGGTGGGCTGAGTCGGGAGGGGGGCGCTTCCCAGAGGGTCATCCAGGCTCCCCGTGAAGCTGGGAGGAAGCTGGCTCCTTCCTCCTCCTTCTGAAATTGAGGGTTTGGGATTTCAACCCCAACAACTTAATACCACACTTTCTTTCCTGTCGCAGCCTCAGAGGAAAGCACTGTGCCTGCTGCTTGGCCCGCATTCTCTCTCTAAGCCACACAAAAGCAGAAAAATACCAAAATAGGTTTTCCTTATTTTACCCTGGATCAAAGTCAGCGATGGGAGCGGCAAGGGCTGCTTCTCTCTGCTTCCGGAAGGGACACTGGCTCTTGGGAGGCACTGGATTATCTTGGCCCAGGGGCCCCCCCCCCTGGCTCCGTGTGGTGACGGGTGCGTGCTTCCCAGCGCTCCTGGGCCTCCGGCATGCTCCTGGGATCCGGCGGGCTCCTGGGCTCTGGCGTGCTCCTGGGCTCCTGCCTGCCCATCTGACGGCCGGCCAGACTCCACCTGCTTTTATCCTTCAAAATCCGAGGGCAGGACCAGCCTGAACTCCACAGAAAGCTCCATTCCTTTGCTATTCTTGGAAGCCCCCACCTCCCTCTCACGTCCTCCCCATCCCCACAACTGGAAGCAGGCGCAGGTTAAGCCTGGCGGGTGTTTTTGGCTGAGACTGAGGCCCCGAGGGTGAAGGGTGGGTGTGGCCTGGCACCCTCTTGGCCTTGTGGGGCTGGCATGGTGTTTTTTTTGTTTTTTTTTTTCTGCCTCCAATGTTTACCCTTTAATTTACTGTGTGGGTGTGCGGCAAGATGTGTACAACATAAAATGTACCATGTAACCATTTTAAAATCCAGTAGCACGAAGTCTATTCCCAAGGTTGTGGAGCCATCGCCACGAAATAGACCCGAACATCTTCATCGCCCCAACGGGGAGCCCTGCATCCATGGGGCAGTCACTGCCCGTCCTCCCCGCCCTCCGGCCTGGGACAACCACCCATCTGCTGTCTGTGTCTATGGATTTGCTCTTTCTGGACATTCCACAGACATGGAATCACACAATACAGGGTTGTCAGTGCCTGGCTTCTCTCACTCGGCAGCATGTCCTCCAGGTCCATCCATGTGGTAGCAGGTGTCTGGGCTTCCTTCCTTCCTTTTCGTGGCTGAACAGTGTTCCATTGGGCGCACAGACCACATTTTGTTCATCCACTCACCAACCGACGGACCTCTGGAGTCCGATTTAATCCCGGAAACACGGGCCCTGCCCTGTGTGCCCAGCTCTGTGAGGGCAGGGCCTGGCACATGGCCAGTGCTCAGGAGACACCTGCCCAGTGAATGAGGCGGCGGCAGCAACGGCCACACACACACACCCACACACACCCCAGCCTCGTGACTCTTAGCGGAGCGCCCTGCCCACCTACCTGGAACCTGTGGGAGGCGAAGAGCTTCTTCAAACGGGTCCTCAGGTCCACGGGGCGCCTGGGCGTGGAGATGGGCCCCGAAGAGGAGCCAGCAGCTCTGCCCTCCTCCTCCGAGGCTGGCGTTGGCTGCGGCTGCTCCTCCTCTCCGCGCTGCTCCTCCTCCTCCTCCTCCTCTTCTTCATTCTCCCACTTCTTGTAGTTGATGTTCCAGGTGTGGTAGTCATCCCCGACGACAGTGAAGTGCTTCAGGAACTTGCTCATCCTCTCGGCGGGAGCAACCTTGGCCCTTCGCGTGACGGTCTGAAAGTGGGGGGACAGAGAGTGAGCGCTCGGCAGGGCGGCCTCAGAGCCTGACCAGACCACGGGGACCCCACGTCTCTCTGGCGGGGAGCAGGGCCCCAGGGGCCGGGCCCCAGGGGTGAAGGCAGCCCCAGAGCTCAGAGCACCGTGCGAGCACGGAGACCGTGAGGTCACGGCGGTTTCTTGTGCTTTTATTTTTGGAATCCAGGCTGTCCGTGTCAGTGAGGCGACAGGAAATGCCAGACCCCAGCGGGCCTAGCACTGTGGTCTGGCTGGCAGCAACCAACGGCATTGGTACTACAACCCAGTTACAAAATACCCATCACGGGCCCACGTGGAAAGATCGGAAGAAGGCCGCATGGTTCAGAGATATCACAACCCGGAAAACCAGAGGCGAGAGTTGGGAGGGGAAGGGGAAAGCCGAAAGTAAAAGCACCCAGAGTTTCACAGAAAAGTGAAGGGCCGACCCCCCCCCCCCCCTCCCTGCTTCGTGCGGTGGCGGATCAGTCCTTGGAAGGTGAGAAGCAAACGGATTTTTTTCCCCTAGGTCCCGCTGATTTAAATACACAATGGACAGTTATTTAAAGACTGATGGCCTCAAAGCAAAAAGCAAATAATCCTCCCCTTTTTGCCCAGATAATACATTTTTTAAAATAAAGTTCAATAATGAAAACTTTCAGGTATGGATCAAGAATAGGCAACACGGTCAGTGGAACAGAAGGGAGCCCTAAGCAGACGCAGGGCCCTGCGGGAACCTGGATGCAATGGTGGTGGCAGTTCAAATCAGCAGGAAGGGCTGGGGAACTTAGGACAACTGGCTTTCCCAATAGAAAAGTAAGTAAACAAAAGACGCCCACACAACACAAAGAATAAATTTAGGAGGCATTAGCAGTAACATATATATTTACACTGAGTGGCCAGATTATGATGATCTCTGAATGATTTGTGCAAGAAGGGGCCTTCCTTCCCCTGACTGCTGACACTGCCTTTGCTCCAGCCCAGAGCCGCCTTTCCGCCTGCCCATGCTGCCCAGAGGCCCGGAGTAGCTGGGGTGGTGAGGAACGCCCGCCCCCAGCCACTCAGTGCCTGTGTGTGCAAATTAACCCAATACCTTTGTTGGGTTAATTTGCATACTCAATCCTGAATGGCTGGTGAGCATCGCAGAAGTATGGTCAATTTGCATCTTTCTCTTTTATTAGCTTAGATTAGAGGCCCGGTGCATGAATTCGTGCATGGGTGGGGTCTGGTCAGCCTGTCCAGGTGGAGGGGACATTGGCGGTTGGCCAGCCTGCCTGCTGGTTGTACTCCTGGTCGAGGGGACAATTTGTATATTAGCCTTTTATTATATAGGATATACACTGAGTGGCCAGATTATTATGTGTTCAGAGATCATAATAATCTGGCCACTCGGTGTATATAAATATATATTTTTTAAAACTTTTTAAAAGTCTTAGAACAAAATACAAACAAGTATCTTCATGACCTCAAAACAGGGAAAGGTTGTTAAAAGAAGATAAAACTGCTTTGTTGGCATGGCTCAGTGGTTTAGGATCAACCTATGAACCAGGAGGTCACAGTTCGATTCTGGGTTGTGGGCTCGATCCCCAATGTGGGGCAAGCAGGAGGCAGCCAATCAAGGATTCTTTCTCATCACTGATGTTTCTCTTTCTCCCTGTTCCTTCCTCTCTAAAATCAATAATATATATATATATATATATATATATATATATATATATATATGTATATATATATATAATATAAATATATATATGTATATATATACACATTTTAAAATTCTTTATTGTTTAAAATATTACATATAGCATTACATGTGTCTCCTTTTTCTCCACTGGCCTCTCCCCAACCGCCCCACCCCCAAGCATGTACCCTTACCCCCTACTGTCTGTATCCATTGATCTCTTACCCCGACACTCACTCACCCCTGCCTTCCCTCTGAAGTCTGATCAATGTTTCCCAAACTTTTGACATATGTGTACCCCTTCTATAATTTTCGTAACGCTGAGTGCCCCTCGTACTCATGAGAACGTAGAATTAGGCGCAGCTTAGCACGATGCAGTACATATCCCCACCAAACTCCGGTGCAATGCGTACCCCTGGGGGTACGCGTACCACACTGGTTTGATACTTCTCTGTCTCTGTATCTATTTTTGTCCGTCAATTTAAGTTCTTCATAAAAATGTATTAAAAAAAAAGAAGAAGACAAAACACAAAGAAATGGATAGAACTGCCTCATCAAAACTAAAAGCTTTTCTATCTCTCAGACACCCCTACAAAGTTAAGACACACACCGATTGGGGGTAAATATTACAATGTACTTAACAGACACAGAGTTAGCGCCCAAAATATATAATAGAAAGAAATGTTACTTCAAAAAGACAATGCCATGGACAACTAGGTGATGGATATGAAGCAAGTCACGTAAGAGAAAACACAAATGGCCAAGACGCTCCCCTCCACCAGCACTCCGGAAAATGCGAGGTGACGTAACAACCGCACACCTTACACTCCTCCGATGGCCAGGTTATAAAGTCTGCAGCAGCAAATGGTGAAGGTGTGAAACAAGGGGGTCTGTTGAACACTGAAGATAAGAATAGGCCGTGGCACTACCATTTCTGGCAGCAATGTGGATTGCTTTGTCAAGATGAAATTGTGCATATCTTTCTTAATGATCTAGTGATTCCGTCCCCAGATGGGCTCCCCGCAAACACTGCCCACATGTGCTCTAATCATGGACATGCCCAAGAATGTTTACCAGCCCTGGCTGGTGTAGTTCAGTGGATGGAGCGTTGGCCTGAAGGGTCCCGGGTTCGATTCCGGTCTAGGGCACTTGCCTGGGTTTCGGGCTCGACCCCCAGTGGGGGGCATGCAAAGGGCAGCCGATTAATGGTTCTCGCTCATCATTGGTGTTTTTCTCTCTCCCTCTCCCTTCCTCTCTGAATTCAATAAAAATAAAAATATTTTTAAAAAAATAGTGTTCATCAGAAATGTTCACCTAAATGGTAGAAGACGAATGAATCCTTCCTATTTGTGTGATGAAATACTAGACAACAGTTAAAATAAATGTCTCTATATATCACTGGGGACGTCTGCATGTCCCCGGACAAAGAGACGACCTGGTCAGGTCTCCCCATTTGTTCAGTGAAGGGGCCATGAGCGCCAGGGTTTGCTCACGGTCTCAGGTAACCAGCAGCCATGTGCTTGAAAATAGGACTGAAGCTCTTTGGTCCCAGGCCACTGTTCCTTCCGGTTCTGTGGTGCCTTGTACATTTCTAAGCTCCAAATCCATTAAAAGGATACCACCTCTTCCATAAGCCTTTCCTGAATCCCAATGTTTTCTTGTAAGTGCGCTGAGACTGTGGGGCGAGGTTGTGGGTGACGTGTGTGGAGGGGGGATGGTGCTCCAAAATGCCACATCCAGGAATCCCATTGGCTCCAGGCTGCCTCCCCTGCCCGGTCTCCCATATTGTTCAAGCTTCAGGGAGCCCCTGACTTGAGACTTCCTCTTCCGACGTGAAGAGGCCCAAGGAGAGCATATAACCTCCCAGGAGTCGAACCTCCTGAATCTGTGCCCCTCCAGGATCCTGGCTCTCTCTTCTCACGACCCCCACTGCTCATTTCTTCTCCCACCCGTTTCCCTAGACCAGGCCTTCAGCCTCTCACCCAGAAGAATGCAACAGCCTCCTTATTGATCTCTCTCCTCCGACCCAGTTCTTCCAGCACACTCTCACCAGCAGCCTGAATGGATTTTATAAACCTTCACCCCTGACCATCGCGCCTGACCATATCACTGCCCCCTGCTGTTTGCTCTTTGAATAAACATCCAAGATCCTTCCAACGATGTACTGGGTCCTGAAAGGTTTGCTGTCATCTCCTGCCACACAACCTACCCCGGGGTTACCCTCGCCCCCTCTGGGCCTCCTGTGGGGTCTTCCCTCAGCCTGGCACGCTCCTCTCCCCACGCTGGCTTGGCTCGCTCTTCCTCAGCTGGAAGGTCCCTTCCTCAGAGAGGCCCTCCTTGACCCTCACATGTAAATCAGATCCCTCCTTAATTGGATAACCCCTCTGTGTATTCTTTACCTTTCCTTTGAGAGCCCTTCAAACAATTTCCAACTAGAAATATTTGTGGTCAGCTGTTTATTACTTTTCTCTCCACACTAGCATTTAAGCTCCATCAGGGCAGAGTTTATATCTCCAGAGTCTCACGTGACACCTGATTTACAAGCCCACCAAGCCCTAACTGGTTTGGCTCAGTGGATAGAGCGTTGGCCTGTGAACTGAAAAGTCCCAGGTTCTATTCCGGTCAAGGGCATGTACCTTGGTTGTGGGCACGTCCCCAGTGGGAAGTGTGCAGGAGGCAGCTGATTAATGTTTCTCTCTCGTCGATGTTTCTAACTATCTCTCTCCCTTCCTCTCTGTAAAAAAATCAATAAAATACATTATAGAAGAAGAAGAAGAAGAAGCCCACCAAGCGCCTGTCAGCTGAGAACCCTGGTACCCTGTAGGCTGGATCCTCCACCACTTGGTTGCCAGGGTTGGCCAAGGGGGGGCTACTGGCCATACCTTCCCCCCAAAAGCCTCCTGTGCTAGCCTGCAGCATGCGGGGGGGAGGAGGGGGCTCTGAGCGCTTTGCAAAAACCACACATTGTACAGAAGAGAAGAGCTTTCCTCCTGAAACCTTGCGACCAGTAAAAAGATGCAGCGCTTAGTAATGTGGGATGAAAATATTTATAGCACCCAGCAGAGCAGAAAGGAACTCTGGTTTTAAGTTTAAAAAATCTGTCATTTCACAAGCAGAGAAGTTCCAGAAAAGGGCCACCATATAGCTCATCCCGAAAATGCCGTGGGCCTCTGAAACCCACCGCCCACCCCCGACTGCCCGCTCCAGTGCCTCCCGCCCCGAGCCGGGCCGGCCGGGAGGACTGACTCAGGGAGGAAGGCCGAGCAGCGATCTCGGTGCCTGGCCTGGAGCAGCCCCGCCA